AGTGGTGTATTTGTAAGCAAATTACAGAAATCACGACTTTTACTTCCTGGGAAGACTTCCAGATTTCCCAGCATGACTACCTCAACAAAATAAGTATTATGTAAAAATACTTCATATTCTTAGCTCTTTCGGTAAAGTCACGTTGAAGGGAAACAATAAAATAATAAAATATATAAAGCAATAAAAAATATATTGTTTATATATTGTTTTATACATTTTTTATTATTTTATTGTTTCCCTTCAACGTGACTTTACCGAAAGAGCTAAGAATATGAATTACTGCAGTCACGAAAGCTTTAAATCAAAATTAAAAAAATACTTATTTTAAAACACGCTTTAATGAAATGTACCGTACTAGTAATGGAATAACCCCACGACTCTAGGAAGTGGCCCCGAAACTTGCCACAACGTAAGGGGCCGTGGCCAATTACAGCCAACGTCAGTTGAGCGTGGACAATTAGACCCAAGCCGAAACATAACATATAAAAAAGATTGTTTTAAAATATATATTTTATTTTTAATGAATATAGTATTGTCATCGGTATGACATACGTATAACAAGTTTGTAGTCGATACCACATTGGGAAGTGGGTTAAAATTGAGTTACAAGATTTGAGGAGACGACAACAGACAGTGAGTTAAACAAAAGCGTGTAAAAACAAGGGGTGACCCTATATAGGCCATAGGTCAAAAATCATAAACAGCAGTCAAATGCATTTCAGCACTTACATTATTACATAAACACTTGTCTAATTAATAAAAAAAATAATGACAATTATTATTTTAAAAAGATTACGAAGATTAATAACTGCGTTTCTTCTTCTTCTGACCCTGAGAGGAAATATACATATATTTACGTGTGTTAAGAATGTATGATGTAACTATTCACAGCCAAATGAGAAAACGCACCTCAAGAGGATGACCACCATGGACATCCGTTGTTGCCTCACTGGACCACGCGGAATGGAGATGACGATGGCATGGCGAGGACTTAATTCAGCAGTGGATTGATCACGGCTGGAATTAATGGTGACAACTTTACACCACACAGAGACTCACTCTAGGACCAACCAGTCCCTGAGTTTAACAGCAATACGATGTTAGCAAGTGCATTGTGTTTGAAGGTTAACTGAGATGAAAAAGCAACAACAAACAGGCCTCATATGACCTCGACACCACCACCAGCAAATATCGAAGGTCACGCACAAAGAGACGCGCTGAGCAAGCCTGACGACGTAGCTAGCCACAGCCGGATGATTGGACTTGAAAAAAACACATCAGTACGTCATTGTTATTGAACTACCACAACCATCAGAGTCATACGCTATGAATAATGTACATAAGTACCATTGTTAAAGTACTAACCTGCTCACCGTTGCAGAATTGCTGCAGGTAAAACTAAACTATGGTTTAATTGACCAGGTAAAGGCCCACCGAGCTACGTAGCTCTTGTTCAGAAGCCACCCGACCACGAAGTGATAGCTTATCATGTGGAAAAGTACAGCAGCTAGAGAAAAATCAATGCGACCACGAGGAGAGAATACGTACACTCCAAATATACAGGCGTCAGGGTCGAGATCGGGAACGAAGCCACAACCTCTTCCGTACCAGGCGAGGGAGTTAACATCTCGCCTACACAGTGACACAGTAAATAAAGAGGTAAGTGTACATGCTGCAATTGCTGGCTTATACCACTGCTGGCAGAAGGGCGTCCACTCGGGGTAACTCTAGAGAACCCCTCTAGAGAGACGCGATAGATGGAATTAATGTTGGGCTTTATTGTTATTGCAGTTGCATTGACATATCCATCACTGCCAAGCATGCTGTCGACAAATAACATGTATAGCTCTTTAGATCAGAGATTGTCAATTTGTTGTGTCATACTTGCGAGATTGCTGTGATAAGATGTGCATTAACTCTCATATTAGCTGGAATCTGTAAATGTGGAGTTAATATGTATCAAAACACTACATTGACCAATATGTATTCCATATTGATGTATTTTTTTTACCAGCTTTAACATAGAAAATACGTGTTTCTATACTTATACATTACATCCCAATGAAGTATTGGAACTGTACATCATCTAGGAGTCCAACATGTCTAGAAATGTGTGTGCATACTGAATTTACGAAGTGGGGAGCGGTGGTGATCGGTGTACCGCGCTATGAATCCGCGACCGGAATTCACTTCCCGCTCAAAAGCCAAATTTGGTGACAAATCAGTTTAACACGTAGGCTTTCGCGACCACATTTATAAATAACGCGATCTAACCCAAAAACGTTTATTATGAATTGGTGACAAATATCTGACCTGGTCTTGGGCCTCCCTTAGGTAGACTCAGCCTTAAACGCCTACCCGGCACAGTGTGTATATTTCAGCCTTGAGGAGACAAAGATGGCCAGGCATGGTGCTGACCAACCACTCTCTCGTTGTGCCGTGCCGAGCTGAACATGTGCGAACTTACAGTACTTGTCCAAACAGTCTTTTCAAGGCTATACGGGGAACCTTTGTCTTTGTATACATGAATATATGCGAGACTTTTTTTTAGGATCACATGTTTATTTATTTACGTACAGCATACAAAAAAGGAAAGTGCATATTTTACTACACAAATCAAAAGTGTACTGTGATAAAATACAAATCTTAACCTATTGAGACGAATTTATGTGTTGGAGAAAAGGCAGTTCTTGTCAAATATTTGGTGGGAAAACAGACAAATTCCAAATATTTGATAGCCAGGTTGTCAATTTTGACACTGAAAATTAACAACAGGATGCATGTCCTCCCAACTAACGATTAATCACGGGAGGGAGGGTGTAGCATCAATGATCATACCTGTGCGTGAGATTTTCTGGTTGTGGCATGGGCTGGGGTAATAATGATGATACATTTCAATTTGGAACACGCACTGTTATCCCTCTCGTTGAGAGGGAATAACTCGGATGCGCGAGGAGGAACCACAGATGAGCGGCAAAAGTAGCAGCAACAATTGCCAAAGCTCTACCGGTCCTCTATATATTAAAGTGTTCTCATCGGCCAATCGGGCACGGAGTGGTTATGTATTGCAGTCCGCACGATTTCCTAAATACAAATTATTTATTAAGTAAATTACATGCCACAGTAATTTAATGCTGCATTTTATTAGGTCATTGAATGACAGTGTCTAGGATCTTGCAAAAAATAGATATTATTTCGGTGGATTGGAGAATAACTTTGGGGGGTGGCGGGGGAGAGGTCGTACCTCCGATGAGGACAGTTGGTTATGTACGGTGCAAAATAAGTTCAAGATACGTACAGATGGGGGGACAACTTCCTGGACACAAGGATATGCTCTGTCCCTGCTGCCCCCAACATAAATCCGTCCCGTTTTAGTTTAAAGCATAATTGGGATAAAACGACATCCTGTAACATAAAGTTAACGAAATGTATACAAGTTGTGCATACACAAGCACGGTTGATTTTATTGAAGGCAACGGCCCTCATTCACAGCACATTCATGTAAACATGTGCTATGAAGAAGGGCTGTTGTCCGGAACATCCGCTATTATACATATTTCCATTCAAGTCTACAGTGCTACTGACAAATGTGTTGAGTTTATTTATTAACTAAACGTATAGATTGGTTCGAAGTGGTTTTACAGAATAACTTATGTTTAGTCGATATGTAACAACGGTGCACATTGATATCAGGTGTTATTTTAATAGCGTACGTGTCAGCGAAATTATTAGAAATTATAAAGGTGCACTGACTTAAAAAAAAAGACATTGAAAAATCCTGTACTGCATCGGCCACTGCACAATACCTGCCTGCAGGTGGTATATTAAAGTACTGTCAGCATTTAATTGGACAACTACATCAGAAACAAACATCAAATACAATTTCCTCCCCCCCCGCCCCCAAAAAATATCGTCAGCGAATGAACACTTACAGCAAAAGACGCGTCTGAACTTTTAATGGAAATCGATGTCGCTCGGCGCATTGCCCAGACCACATGAGCGCTGTCCGGACATGAATCCCACTTGTCCACGTGAATCGCGAAAGAGCGTAAGCGTCAACAGGTCGAGGCGCAGGCCTGTGCGATTGCTTGCTCATACCTCGGTTGGCTATGTACGGTGCGAAATAAGTTCAATATAAGTGCAGGTGGGGGGACATCTTCCTGGACTCAAGTATATGTTCTGCTGGTGGAAAGGGTGCCTCCATTCGAGGGAGCTCTGGAGGGATTCTTCCCTTTGGACGACTAAACTAAAACTGAACAGAGCTTTTATTTGCCAGGTAAAGCCCACTGAGTTATTTCACTCTTTTCCAGTTACATGCTGGCCAGATGTATTGAAAGAGGTTGGATTGCTCACATTTTACCCCACTATATGGAAACTATGATTAATCAATTTATATGCATGTAATACCGTCATCGACTTACAAACACCCGCACTTACGAACACCCGCACTTACGAACTAGCTTCCATGACATATTTGTGTTTTTTTAACAATAACTTAAAACGTGGACTCTCACTTACAAATTGAACTATTTTGTTCAGCTGAGTAATCTTCCGCGAGATGTAAATGAGTCAGCCGTGTGCTGGGAGTGAGCGTGTGTGTGTGGGAATTTAAATAAGTAGATTACTTTTGATTTAAAGCTTTCGTGACTGCAGTAATTCATATTCTTAGTTTTTTCGGTAAAGTCACGTTGAAGGGAAACAACAAAATAATGAAATATATATTTTATTATTTATTGTTATATATATATTATTATTTTGTTGTTTCCCTTCAACGTGACTTTACCGAAAAAAACTAAGAATAAGTAGATTACTGTGTAGATTTGAAGTTTTCGTGACTGCAGGGATCCATACTCTTTGGTTCTTTCGGTAAAGTCACGTAGGTATAAAATAAAATAAATTAAATCATGACGTTTCGGGCGCCCGAAACGTCGTGATTTAATTTATTTTATACCTACGTGACTTTACCGAAAGAACTAAAGAGTATAGATTACTGTGTTCCGACTTACAAACCGTTCGACTTACGAACGGGTCCAAGGTACGAATTGTGTCCGTAAGTCGAGGACTGTTAGTACTATATATTATTGTTTATTTAAACATTTGTTTTGTATATTTTACTGGTTGTATACTGTTGTCCCGTGATGTTAGTCTTTTGTCACGTAACATTATTAGTGTGTAGCACGGTGTTAGTGCTTAGGAATTTGGATTGTAATTACTGACAAAGAATTTGCCATAATCCCGGCTTAACGTTGCGGTCATATATTGAAAGTTTGCATGTAATTTGAAATGTTACAAGTTTTCCGTTTGGAAGTAATTATTTGAATAGCAATTCCAAATGCACTGAACTAATGTTCGTATTAAATAATATGAGATAGAAGTTGCATGTTGGAATATAAAACCATGAGGTAATGTAGATTAAACAATCAAGTCTTATGATGACAAAGATATCTTAAGTCCAAAAAACAATGTATGTGTTATCGCGCTTTCTGCCATTTTTCATGACTGTAAAGGTGTATGAGTTATGCAATCGCAGACTCCATGAGGTCGAATTACTGACAGTTCACTGCAAAGTATATCTCTTGATGTAAAATTTTCTCAGCTGTTGTGATTATCAGTTCTTATTGGAGTGGACTTTATAAGCCGCGCAAGTTTGTCTGTGCGTTAAATGTCACCCTAAAATGCCACCTCAATCACTTGAGGCCTCTTGAATGTTATCTGAGAAAAAAATTGAAAAGGAACATTTAGAACACTGTAGTTTACAATACCAAAATCATGATCACGCTTATATGCTCTACCAGGAGCATACGTATATATATACAATAATGCATAGTGTATATAGTATTTCTGAAAGACAGTTATACATCTATTCGCCTATAATCAATGGCCCTTCTTCTATACCAGAGTTAGATTTATGAAGGTCCATTGCCAGAAATGTCACCTATAATGCTGTTCTCTGCAGGACAGTGTTACTGATGGATGCGTTGACGTTTTGTGACGTGTGTATATGTTGAACTTCTTTCGCACCATACACAGCCAACTGTGCGAATCGGAGGTGCGAGGGAAGGACACCAAAATAAACACAAAAATCAGTTCTAAATAAATTAGTTTTCAATCTAGATTTAAAAGCGCATAGCTCGAGTGGCTTATCGGAGGGAAGTGCGTTCCAGACGGCCACAGAAGCGCATCTGAAAGTGTTGCGTGATGCGGTGACCGTCATTGTTCGATGGCCAGCCAGAAGCCGCTGCTGTGAGTATGACCGGAGTTTGTGTGATGATGAGTTATGCTCCTTGACGAGAATGATGGGCAGCCACTGATCTCATGCTCAGAAGCCTGATCAGGCGGTAGTGTTAATGTTGAATTTTTATGTGTGCTTGTGCCCCCACTGCCAATTATCTATTATACATAGTTTTTTTATGTTGAAGATATAACGATTCACATGCACATCCGTATGTATTGATGCCTTCTTGAAAAAACATAACACTGAGGGAGTCACGGAAGATATTGTGCTGTTTGCTTTGTCGCCTCCTGTCTGACACAGGTTTTTCCAAGTGACCAATGCACCACGTACGAATACAATTACATCTGACCTTGATGATAGCAATACATTGATAGAGAAGGGGGGCAGGCAGCGTAAGCTCATGGCACAGTGAAAACACAATCTTCTACATGAAAAGACACTCCATTGTTGTCGAGTATTCACAAACAAATCACAAGAATTTTAATGGCTAACGCAAATGTGACTCAACAGGATTGGTCAAACAGTGCACGTGTATTTCTTGCTTTTGTCTGCAATTTTGGCATTGCGTCAGTATTAGAAGTATTACGACAAAGCCATCGGTGAAGTCGCTGGAAAAATACACGGCGCATTGTTTACGTTATGCACGTATTGTTCTTACCTCTTCCTGGCTAACCTTCGTAAGTCTGGGGTGGAGTGCTCCGAGCGGATAATCGAAATCATCTGTTTGAAAGAAATGTGATGCACGAGTAGAGAATAACCCTTTTATAACAAAACTCTTATATTTTAGTCTATTACCCCACGACTCAAATTATTCGCAAACACTCCTTATCAGCGGCCCTATTCATCCTATTATCCGCGATAATCTGTGAGTACCCCCTCCGCCTCCGCAGAAGAGTGGAGTAAAATAGCAAATAACCCCGTGGATAATAGGATCCGTAATACTGCCCCCCCGCAACATAATCACGGACGAGTGGAGTTCAGTCCAGTATTGGTGTGGGCTTGTAAGCAGGTTAATGAAAGTTGACTGTTTCAACATAAACGCATGTTGTGGGACGCCAGGGGGTTGGGTGGCCAGCACCACATCGCACCGGCTACTCATTTGAGGCTGAGTTGAAGCCCAGGAACCGGTACAGATATTCGTCGCCAACGTTGTCTGCGAGCAGGGAATCGAACTTGGCCCGTGGGGTTCGTCGAGCGGTGCGCTAACCTCGGCACTACCGCTCCCCAACAAGGTTGAGAAACGCCCTCTACATCAACTAGGCTGCTTGTAGAGGGCAGTGGTCTTAATTGACGATAAAAAAACACAATGTCACCCTGACTCACTGTATTGCAGAACCAGATCGGACAAATATATTCTTCCATATATAACAAAGAACCAGGGGCGGAGCCAGGATTTTGACTTTGGGAGGGCTGACTTCAATATTCTGAGATATCCAGTGTAATGTTTTCCAATGGGCGCCACAAATGTATAAAACAAACTTTATTAGATTTGAACGCGGAGTTTATTAATAGGTCGGAGCCGCTGATGTGGCTGATAAGTTCCATAAGTTCGAAAGGCTGCCGCTCAAGCAGCCTGCAGGGCAGCACAAGGTGGCAGCCTGCAGGGCAGCACAAGGTGGCAGCCTGCAGGGCAGCACAAGGTGGCAGCACAAGGTGGCAGCCTGCAGGGCAGCACAAGGTGGCAGCCAGAATTTTGCAGCAGCCGGATATCCGGTTATTCCGATTACCGACTTTCCCAAAATTTCAGGAGGGGCTGAGCCCCCCCCCCAGCCCCCCCCCCCCCTGTGGCTCTACCCCTGACAAAAACTAATGTTTAAGCTCAACATCATCATCAGTCATGATCAAGCCACAGTTAGATGAAGACCCCACCACTGTCACCGTCTCTCATGATCCTCTGATGATCCACCTAGCACCTGCACAAAGAGCTGATTCCATCACTCCGTCTCTGTGGTTTGACATCCTCTTAGGCCCATTCCATTGCTTGGATGACATTCCCATCATTATTCTTGATAGCATTCAATGCAATGGAACAAATATGTAACGAATATATATTTATGTTTTAGAGAAATATCATGAAAATTAGTGAAATTAACATGATGAACTGCACCCCACTGCCCGGACTGAAGCCAGCATACACCACCATGGAGTTGTAGAAGAGAACAGGGGGTGGTCATTGTCACAACCACTTTGCTTTTATGATTTTTTTTTTATTTCTTAATCTTAGCATTTGGTGTGGTCGGGTATTGTCAGCGAGTTGTGTTGATTGCATTGCCACTGTAACACAGTACACTTTAACACGTACCACTGTGACACAGTACACTTTAACACGTTCCACTGTAACAGTACACTTTAACACGTACCGCCGTAACACAGTACACTTTAACACGTACCACTGTGACACAGTACTCTTTAACACGTACCGCTGTGACAGTACATTTTAACACGTACCACTGTGACACAGTACTCTTTAACACGTGCCACTGTGACACAGTACTCTTTAACACGTACCACTGTAACACAGTACACTTTAACACGTACCACTGTGACACAGGACACTTTAACACGTACCACTGTAACACAGTACATTTTAACACGTACCACTGCGACACAGTACTCTTTAACACGTACCACTGTAACACAGTACACTTTAACACGTACCACTGTGACACAGTACTCTTTAACACGTGCCACTGTAACACAGTACTCTTTAACACGTGCCACTGTAAGACAGGACACTTTAACACGTACCACTGTATCACAGTACTCTTTAACACGTACCACTGTGACACAGGACACTTTAACACGTACCGCTGTGACACAGGACACTTTAACACGTACCACTGTAACACGGTACACTTTAACACATACCACTGTAATACAGTACACTAACACGTACCACTGTTACACAGTACACTTTAATACGTACCACTGTAACACTTGTCACTTTAACGTGTCACTTTAACACGTACCACTGTAACACATACCACTGTAACACGTACCGTTGATGTCACCCGCCATGTAGTTTGGGTTGTCACGTCCTTCACTGTACTTTTCATAATGTCCTGATCTTTAGTATAAAAAAACAGTAATTATTTATCAATATATTATATTTATTGAAAATGTAATAAATCCAAAGGCATGCAAAGTTATGATTTTGAAGTTATCCAAGTCGTTGAACAATGTCTGCAATTTACATGACTCCTCTATCTCAAAGGTCAACGGCATTTGATGACATTTGATAAGCAAATGAAAAACATTTTCCAAATTGTATTACAGCATGTATTATTTTAATATTTACCGCAAATGTGTCTTTACATCTAAATGTATGAGAATAGGGATTTTCCCCTTTTTCTGGCAACAAAACTGAAACTTTTTTTACAAGGAATAATGTCTGCATTAACCACAATACTTGTGGTCAAAATGCAATATAAAAACACTAATAATATATGCATTGTCCTTGAAAGTGATTGGTCCACACCAGAGACAGCTTTCTTTTGAGCCTTGAGCCTCACCTCAAACGGTCCTAGACCAATCAGCCCAGTGCTGTAGATTGCAACTGGGTAATCCATTAGAGCCAGGTGCATATGACAGACATTTTAGCCCACGGTCATGACTTTTAAGTAAACACCAATGTTATTGTGTGAAGGCGTAAAACGCTTCTGCTCGAGTGGTTGCATGAGGCGCCTTACCCAGAAGCACGGGACCTCCTGCGTTTGTGTCTCTTGATGACCACGACTATGATGGTGACGATGACCATGAGCAGCAGTGTGAGTGGCATAACGATGCCAATTATTAAAAGAATATTAGTGGAATCTACGGGCTCTTCACAATTGGCTCCTTTGAAATCATCCGGACACCTGAAATAAACAGAATTCACGCATTCAAGTGATGTTCAAATAATTAACGGAGGCAGTACAATCTGGCAATGAAATGACAATCAACCAAAACCATTGCTTCTAAAATAACATTTGCAGAAGATAACCATTGAAAGTCAGATCAACGTCACACCACCGAAATGTTAATCCTTTACAGGCGGTTCCTCTGAGACTCCCCTATGCCCTGGCTTTCTTCAAGGCTCCATTCTTGCTCTACTTCTCTATCCCTGATAAACTACAAAATTATAAATACTCCCACAGTCTCGAACTCTCTCGCTCTGGCCATCCGCACTGCTAACTCGATCCCTCTCTTCCAGTCCAGGGTCAAGACCTTCTTCCTCTGTTCATGCGTCCAAATGCCATTTTTTAAAAACTCATCTTAAATACATAATTATATTCCTATTTTAATTGTCCTTCCCCATGATGTAATCGCGTGTCCCGTTGTGGCGTTTTGTACGACATCTTGAGATGGTCACAGATGATTCAGAATAAGAATAGGTTTTAACCTTTCTGGCAATAAAAGAGGAGGTGTTAAGATGTTCAAACATCAAGTGGATACATTTTGCAAGGCATCAAGTCTGTATTGTTTGAGTTAGATCGTTTAGGTATAACCCTGTATCACCTGACAAAGCCAACAAGTTTTCACGGGAGGGGGGTGGGGGAAGCAAATGTGCCACATTGATTCTGTCTTTCAGCAAACCGGTTGTGTTGAAAAGAAAACGAAGTTCCGACAACGTTAAATGACGTTTTGCTGGCTATTACAGCCAGCATCATCAGCTCAAGTTGACACTATACCTACACGATCTAATTCTAAATGAACCATTTATGAATCATAATGTTGGTCACGAAAGCCCACGTGTTCAAACACGTAGATGTTTTAATACATTCAAATCGTATTCATATAGCTTTTAATTAATTAGTGATGTTGAAGGTTATTCGGTTGCCCTGAACAGTCTTTGGAGATGTGTTGGAGTACGCACCATATACACGTGTACTATTAATGGAACAAAAATATGTAAGATTAAACTAAAATATACACGAGGTCACATTCCTCCTACCGTACATCGCCAACCGTGTTAATCGGAACTGTGATGTTGAAAGCGATGACAAAGAGTTGGTGTTGTACATAATATCCATGTGAAGTTGTACGTAGCATTTACGACTGTTTTTGTTGTTGCAGTTACGTTTCTGTCTTTGCTACTTCACTTCGCCTTAAAGGAATGATGAATACTTACTCACACACCGGTCCAGTTGCATGTATTTGGCACGTTCCAGGCCCACACGTGTGATATTTTGAGTGGTTTACAACACATTCAGAAATACACTCTGAAGTGTTGCCGTTTGCAAAATACTCATAGTATTGACTGAGTTGAACATATCGACACCAATCTGCCACACCTAGAAATGACCCAACATGAACATTACTTATCAGTCGTCAAGCAGAGCGTACGCATAATCCTCTTAGGTTATTGCTGGGATAAGGTAATATGCAAAGGACATCGCAAGAGATAATATGTATTGTTCATCCACACACAGCCCACACACAGCCCGCACTGTTTTCTCTGATTATTAAAAGTTTTAAGTGTGGCTTATAATATATTCAGAGTATATGCCCATAATGATTTTTTTACAGCAACATTTTATAATTTATTAAATGAGTATATGTAGTAATGCTTTAAATTATTGAAGGGTTTGTCTGTGACTCAATAGCTACTATTAGGTAACTATTCATATGCCGATTAAAAAAGTTGTGGTCATCAGAAAACATTAACAAATGTACTCATATCAGGCCCCATGGTGTTAAGTGCAGTCTATAACTATTATTATCCACTCTATCTCACTGGGCTCTATGTACTATGAAGAAGGGCCAGTGCTCACAACGTCACTGATTCCGTGTTATTTTTTGTTTACAGCCACACTGTTGTTGATGCGTGTGTTGAGTTTATTTTATTTACTGCGTGCCATCGTCAAAGGGTATATAATAATGTCAGATATAATATGACGCGACCCTTTTCCATATCACAATAATTTAAGAGCTGTGAGTACTTTTGTTCAGCAATTTTAATTAAAAATAAATAATTTGGGAAGATTGTTCATGTTCAATTGTATGCTTAGTAGCGAACATTCTTGATTAATCACTGAGGAATTGCTTTGATCAGCCTTTGTGCCTTCCAAATCCTGCTTTCACCAATCGCAATTGTTTGCACGTGAAAACCTGTCAACAATTTGATCTTGATTGCATTTATTTATCACTGACATGAGCATTACAACCACAAAACAGTCGCCACATTCAGTCAGAAAAACAAAGAATTGGACTTACCGTTGACAACTGTATTGTCTGCAGCTGTAACTGTCTTATTGACGTCCAAATAAAATCCCATGCAGTTTTCCTCTGTAAGATATAACATGCATTCACAACGCGTGTAAAAATATCAACATTATAGCAGTAAAACCAGTTTGGAGCTTATGATATCATTTAATAAATTGTACTGAAATGTTATCATTTAAGGAATTATGTTTTTTTGTCATTAATACAAAATTTAATGTGCTTTGAATGATGTGATTGACATTTGGCTTTTTTGCCAATCAGTTATATATTTTTCTGCATGAAAGAATATATCTGGTTCACTTATTCAAATGTAATTAATCTTTGCGTGAGATGATTCAGAGGTCAAGAGGACCCGAGATGGCGCCGCTGAGATTCTGGCTTTGACCCCCAGGCACAGCGCCTGTGCATTGGTGAGTTGGTAGTCTCAGCCAGGTTATCAATGACCAACCCCCCCCCCCCCCCCCAAATCCTTCCAGCAATATGAATGACAATTACGTGAAAACCCCCCTGCGACAATAAGTTATGGATAACATTGGAGTATTAATAATCATGGTAAAAAATACAAATCACACGCTCTACCAGACAGCTGTTTTTGTGGTCGGTCACAGGTTCTCCATTGATTGCTCAAACCAAAATATTCTTTCTGCACTTAAGTGGGCAAAATTTCAGCTCTGAGATTTTAAAATACTGAATCTTATTTGTCGTGCGATGAACGCGAATGCTCGCATTGGTCTGCGAGAGTTCCCAATGAATTCTGCGTCCAGTGGCATGGCACTGATGGCACACTCGGGATAAGATCCTCGGCGGAAAAGATGACACAATATCAACTTTTGTAAAAACTATATTGGCACAAAGACTTATTTTTCTAAATAGTTAAAACTAAACTGCAATACCTTAATGCATCATTGATATAAGTATAGCAATGCAATTGCTTCCCTGTTTGGCCATAGCACATCAAGAATAATCAGTGAAATCTAATGCAGCGAAATATAATTGATAGTGCTTGTATAAAAGTAATAAGCAGCCAATTGAAGTAATCATAAAAAACAGAACAGAAACTGTGAAAATAATTACGCGTACTGCAGGATACTCTGCATGATGCACTGCTTGATGCGAGCCCGAGAAAACTGCCATTTGCTTCGACAATGCCCAGTAACAGGTCTTTCTGGCTCACACTCCAACCTGTCTGATCTTCAGGTTCCTTCCTCACGTCACTGTGCGTTACCCATGCTGCTTTCAAGTTGTCGAGCAGCATTTGACGTTTACGACATCCTTCTCCAACTTCCTTCATGAACCTCTCACCTCTGGGAACGTGTCCAATGCAAATAATGTATGTTTTTTTAATTGTTTGAAATAAATGTCTCTTCGACCTAACCTACTCTAGCACTGCCTCATTGCTCTTTTTCTCAGTCTAACTGATTTTCTCCATTTCATGCCATCGCCCACATCTCAAGACGTTCCAGTTTTCTTCCGTTTCCCTTTCTCATATAGATAAATAAACATATAACACTCCACTCCATACTTGTAGATAAGCAGACAATGTCTTCTTCAGCGATTTGCTTGCCTTGTAGAAATACGCTTTATAATTTTCATTTATGTGTTATTATACTTTATAGATCTGCCTTGCCACATAAAAAAATAAACAACCCATCGGCCCCACGGCATTCTGGAAGTGAGTACTTTTAACAGCATCAATTTAGTACAAGCAAACTCTGGACCGGTTTCAACATTCACTATATCATCAGCAGTCAAGCTTCCTTGACTCATTGCCGGTGAAATGCCAGGTGTTTATGTGGAAGGACTGGCTTCAGCATTTAGTGTCTCATCAGCACAGTCAGGCTCGCTTAATTCCATGCTAAAAGCAAGGGACACTCTTTTTAAGATATGGTCTTAGTCAACGCTCTGCTCTCACTCTAATTTCCCTTTTGAGATGATGGAACGCAATTTAAAAGTTGTTTTTGCACGTGTCCATAAATAAGGCACACATGCTATGCACAGCTTACCTGGTGAAGTTGTAATGCTGTCCTGGAGAATGCATGTCGTATTACTGAATGCTTTTTCTATACTGTTTTGCAAGTCGTTGAGGTCCGGAGAGTTATCAGGACTGTGAGAGTACTGAAAAGTGACTCTGTGATCCACCACTGTACTTCCATTACTGTGAGCATCACAAACACAATTCAATTGTTAGGTTGTGTCGTTTACAACCAAAGTTTATACCACAAGTGGCTTAATATTATATTTTATCAGCGATCGTTTCACAATGCAGTTAGTAAATTCAAAGATGAAATGGTTTTCAGCAAGAGCAAATATAACTTTTACAGCACGGATTAGTCCGCAGAATTTCTCGTAATAATTAATTTCGTAAAAACGCAATTGCACCAATGAAATACAATACGACTGTGGTCATTTAATACTGCATTATAACATTGCAATGCGTATGTTGTAGTTAATGCTGAAAATTGATATACACGCATACTTCTAGATTTGAAGCTTTCGTGACTGCAAGGATTCATACTCTTTGGTTTTTTCGGTAAAGTCACGTAGGTAAAAATGAAATAAATGAAAACAACTGAAATAAATCACTACGTTTCGGAGGCAACACAAGCTTCCGTCTTCAGGTGATACTTGTATGGGCATACCCATTCCTGTCCGAAAATATGAAACTCATGATGCATGCAAAAAAAGCAAACTTACATAATTTCAATAATTTCTGTACTTTGGAATCCAAAAATCTGCGAATAAATGTTTTCCATCTACAAATAGACCAACAACAAATGATTAGTTACGTACAAATTCAATCATTTCGTGATTTTTTAAAAGTTAATAAGCTACTATCATTAATGAGAGTTTAAAATATTTATCGGACCAATTAAACGATTTATATTATTGATTGAACTTTGCAACAAGAACATCTACTTACATAATTCAGAAACTTTCTCTCAAATGCCTTGTATACAGGATGTGTTTTATTTTGCAAGTCCATGGAAAATTCTTCATTTGTTATTCGAATGGTAATATTTGCAGATTTTAGTGGTCCCTCTGTAAGTGTAAAAAGCCGATGAAGTCAAATGATATATAACCACACATTCATGATACACACACCCTTTATGTCCGTACAAACTTGGAAGACTACCAGTCTTCGCTGCTTTCATGCGTATGCAAAACAACTTTGATTGAAATTACTTTGCCAATCAAACTATAGCACGATTCTTCAAGGATAAGCACGATAACGTCGGTGAAATCCTGATTGGTTAAATAATTTCCAAAGTACTTGTCCAAAAAAATCAACACTGATTCTTTAAGATTCTTTGAAGAGGATCCTATATTGGTGTGTTTGACCAATTCCATATAAAAAGCAACAAAATATCAAACGTGGCCTAAAACACCTTAAAGGTAAATAATAATTGAGAATGTTGAAGGTGTGGATATTGTTGTTTAATTTTGCATGTGCTAAATACTCAGCTCTGTGATTTACATTGTAAGATTTACATTGTAATATTTTAAGGCAGGATGTCAAGTTAGAAAAGTTCGAAGTTCATTGTGGAGAAGGAACGAATAATTTTATTTTTATTGCAAAATGTCTCCACGGGGTTTTTGGTTAAAACAGATGGCTAATTGAAATATTTTACTTTCCAATTATGACATACACATTTCATTCAATAGCATGAGGTCATCATATTAAAGCAATACAGTAGAACAGCAGTGGCCAACCGGCGTCTCCCGAGTCACATGCGGCTCTTTAATCCACCACGTGTGGCCCTATCAAAGGAGCACAACGTAGAACGTCCTATCACAGTTGTAGCAAAGAAGAATAAATGTCTCCCGTGCTGTGCCAAAAACTGCCTATATATAATCTTAATTTTAAGCTTTCATGACTGCAGGAATCCATACTCTTTGGTTCTTTCAGTAAAGTCACGTAGTTATAAAATAAAAGTAAATCACGACGTTTCGGGTGCAACACAAGCATCCGTCATCAGGTGGGACGCAATATATATACTATCATAAATATACACTTGGCATTTTGCAAAACTAATGGGTCCTTTTGGCTCTTGGTCTGTTACAGGTCGGCCACCCCTGTAGTAGAACTCATCCGCCCTATTATCTACCACATCTATTATCCGTGTGATTGGTAGGGCCTGTGGAAACTCCTATTATCCATGGTCCTATTCTCCCAATTCTCAAGTCATGGCTTTGTTTTCCCCCATCCCGCATTCAAGTGGCCTAAATTTGCAGAAAATAGGATCCACATCACCACCATGAATAATAGGAGTTCTGCTTTATTGAAGTTGGATACGTTTAAAAATAGTAAGCGTTTAACCACTGTCAGACTTTATCAGTAAAGTGAAGGTAGGTGCTCTATTAAAGTAAAATTACATGATGCACTCATGAGACTTACCAGCTGGAAATGCATTCTGGTAAACCTCACATGTTGAGCCACTAAATTGATTTGAACATTTGCACTGACCAGTGTTACAATCCGCCGTTCCTCCATTTACACATTCTATGTTCGGACATGTCACTGGTAAAACAAGAAAACACGATGTGATTATGCACATTAGGTATAAAAATTACATTGTACTTATCCACAGTTGTAGTATATTTATTTTCCATGTGTGCTTATTGCAACAGATGGGAATTTTATACAGCCCAGTAAGAGGAAATACCCCAAGCTGATGTACTACAGTTACTTCCTGAAGTATTTAAAACATCTCTGTTTTGAAAAACAAATCTTGCCATTAATCTTTCAAAGTCATTCAGGAGAAATATAGAGGGCCCCCCTAGGGGGTTAGTTGGCCTATGCTTCCATGCTGTTCAGACATCTCGGTAGAGGTGTCTGAACAGCACGCCTCTGTTGTGCTTTTTCTGCCTAGATGATAAAAAGAATGCCACAATCTCGGCTCTTGTTGAGTTGGTGGCTATCGCAAAAGCTGTGCACAGAATGTGTGCAAGCATGGTGATGTCATGTTTACAGGCAAAGTAAGGTGGGATTCCTGCTATGACTTTCTGTTCAAGACACTTCTTTAGCGAGCATGTTGTATGTTCTTTTTTATTTGCACACATGTTTGCCTGGCTCTTGAATTGCCACCTTAGCCATACAAAAAGGTACATGATCATTTTTTTTCAATCACATTCACTTCATGAGATAATCTTCAGGTTTGAAAATGGATTATGAAATGCTTAAAAGTGCTGCTAATTAGATTGCTGTTAAGAAGTATACTGTGCTGTATTGTATTGCTGCCATACCTGGGAATGTTGTTTCAGGTGGTTTTGTTGAAGAAACTTGATTGGTACTCCCATGTGATGGTCCTAGTGATGTTGAGACTGTTGGATCTTGTGATGTTGAGATGGTTGAGCCTTGGGATGTTGAGACTGTTGAGCCTTGGGTTGTTGAGATTGTTGAGCCTTGGGATGTTGAGAATGTTGAGCCTTGTGATGTTGAGAATGTTGGACCTTGTGATGTTGAGACTGTTGGACCTTGTGATGTCGAGAATGTTGGACCTTGTGATGTCGAGAATGTTGAGCCTTGTGATGTTGAGAATGTTGGACCTTGTGATGTTGAGACTGTTGGGCCTTGTGATATTGAGACTGTTGGACCTTGTGATGTCGAGAATGTTGAGCCTTGTGATGTTGAGAATGTTGGACCTTGTGATGTTGAGACTGTTGGGCCTTGTGATATTGAGACTGTTGGACCTTGTGATGTTGAGACTGTTGAGCCTTGGGATGTTGAGAATGTTGAGCCTTGTGATGTTGAGATTGTTGGGCCTTGTGATGTTGAGACTGTTGGGCCTTGTGATGTTGAGACTTTTGAGCCTTGTGATGTTGAGACTATTGGACCTTGTGATGTTGAGGCTGTTGGACCTTGTGATATTGAGACTGTTGGGCCTTGTGATATTGAGACTGTTGAGCCTTGTGATGTTGAGAATGTTGGACCTTGTGATGTTGAGACTGTTGGGCCTTGTGATATTGAGACTGTTGGACCTTGTGATGTTGAGACTGTTGAGCCTTGGGATGTTGAGAATGTTGAGCCTTGTGATGTTGAGATTGTTGGGCCTTGTGATGTTGAGACTGTTGGGCTTTGTGATGTTGAGAATGTTGAGCCTTGTGATGTTGAGAATGTTGAGCCGTGTGATGTTGAGACTTTTGGGCCTTGTGATGTTGAGAATGTTGAGCCGTGTGATGTTGAGACTATTGGACTTTGTGATGTTGAGACTGTTGGGCCTTGTGATGTTGAGACTGTTGAGACTATTGGACCTTGTGATGTTGAGACTATTGGGCCTTGTGATGTTGAGACTGTTGAGCCTTGTGATGTTGAGACTGTTGGACCTTGTGATATCGAGACTGTTGGGCCTTGTGATGTTGAGACTATTGGGCCTTGTGATGTTGAGACTGTTGAGACTATTGGACCTTGTGATGTTGAGACTGTTGGGCCTTGTGATGTTGAGACATTTGAGTCTTGTGATGTTGAGACTGTTGGACCTTGTGATGTTGAGACTGTTGAGCCTTGTGATGTTGAGAATGTTGGGCCTTGTGATGTTGAGACTGTTGAGCCTTGTGATGTTGAACCTGTTGGGCCTTCTGATGTTGAGACTGTTGAGCCGAGGGATGTTGAGACTGTTGAGCCGAGGGATGTTGAGACTGTTGAGCCTTGTGATGTTGAGAATGTTGGGCCTTGTGATGTTGAGACTGTTGAGCCTTGTGATGTTGAACCTGTTGGGCCTTCTGATGTTGAGACTGTTGAGCCTTGTGATGTTGAGAATGTTGGGCCTTGTGATGTTGAGACTGTTGAGCCTTGTGATGTTGAACCTGTTGGGCCTTCTGATGTTGTTGAGACTGTTGAGCCGAGGGATGTTGAGACTGTTGAGCCAAGGGATGTTGAGACTGTTGAGCCTTGTGATGTTGAGAATGTTGGGCCTTGTGATGTTGAGACTGTTGAGCCTTGTGATGTTGAACCTGTTGGGCCTTCTGATGTTGAGACTGTTGAGCCTTGTGATGTTGAGACTATTGGACCTTGTGATGTTGAGACTATTGGACCTTGTGATGTTGAGGCTGTTTGGCCTTGTGATGTTGAGACTGTTGGGCCTTGTGATGTTGAGACGTTTAAGTCTTGTGATGTTGAGGCTGTTGTTGGTAATCCTGGTGATAATGTTGTATCTGTTAAAAAAAATACAATAACAATAATTTTACATCAAAGTGAAAATTCAACATGACCAATAAATGAGAAATGAGGGCAAAGACAAAGAAAACTGAATAAAACCTAAAACGTGTCTGAATAAACATGGAAAAACACAATGAACAAATACAAATTAGAGACACTATGGAATGTTTTATGCAATGAGTTTGGTGTATTACACAGTTTTGTGAAAAATGTCAAACCCACTGGGTTTCAAGATTGCCAGGACAAGACAGTACAGAAAATGGATTTTTCTCTTCAGACTTTTGAGTGTTTTATCTTTTATAATACAGTTTTTGGGTTAGATCGCGTTATTTATAAATGTGTTGTAACCCTCCACCATCAGACACGGCCAATCAGTAAAAAAGTGTCACGTTGACAAAATAGTTCACTACTTTAGCCCACTGGTGTGTTGAAGAGTGAATCGACAACATTTACAATGTTTGTATACGACGTTTCGCTGGTTATTACATCCCCCATCATCGGGCAATTTGCTAGAATAGTGAAGCCCTCACTTGCTTCCGGTCTTACATAGAGCAGCAGGGTGACGTCATCATTTAACTCATTCAGGTGCAGTGATTTGAGGTGGGGGGGGGGGTATTGTAATTATTCTATAAGTAAATAATCAGTCAATTGTTATGATTAGTAATGAGTTTTAGATTAGTAATTAGTTGTAATGTGTTAGTAGTCAGTTAATTAGTATGTGTTTCCCCTATAATTATTATTTTGGGTAGGCTGAGTGGCATGTTGACGGAGTGACATGCAGACTGAGTGGCATTGGGAATGAGTGACATCTTCTTTGGTTCTTTCGGTAAAGTCACGTAGAATGAGCATAAAATAATAAATTGATAAAATAAAATAACAATAATATTCTCACGACGTTTCGGCCACAACACACAAGGCCGCTTGTGTTGTGGCCGAAACGTCGTGAGAATATTATTGTGTTATTTTATTTTATCAATTTATTATTTTATTCTCATTCTACGTGACTTTACCGAAAGAACCAAAGAAGATGAATCATTGCAGTCACGAAAGCTTTAAATCGAAAAATAAAAAAATAGTGACATGTAGACAGAGTGGATTGAATGATTGATGCCACAATCCAAGATTTATGCAACACAAAGCTGAGACGGAAGCACGAATGGCACTGAGAAAATTAAACTAATTTAAGCAAAGAAGAAGAGAAAATACGTGTTTTTAGTCTAATCTTAAAAGCACTGATTGTTACGGCTGAGCAGACTTCAGTCGCAGACCATTCCAGACCACCATTGCTACCAACGAAAATCTCCGTTCTGCTGCCCTAAGTCGAGTCTGTTTCACACAGCAGCATGTCCATACCAGATGAGCGTAGAATTAATGATGGTCCGGCAACGTTGAACTGGACTCTCTAATAGAGTGGTAACCTGTACAGCTCCTTCGAAAGGTTTGAAGAGCTCACGAGAGGTGGGGCCAGGCAAATGACTCCAGCAATCATGTTCTGTAGACGCTGGAGACGTTTTCTGAGGCCATCATTTACAGCAGAGAGTTGCAATAGTCAAGACATGTGGCAACTGGGCTACATGCTATGGTGTTGCGACGCAGTATTCTATGCAATTTCTGATGTGGCATACACCTTGGGTGTGGCGAGTGTATGATCATATGAACTCGTTGATATGTGATTCGAAGGTGAGGTGTTTGTTGAATGCAATACCCAGCAACTTGAGATTGCTATGTGTGGGATGCCGATCAAAGACGGAATGACGCCGGATATATCTTGTTCATGTTTGATGATGCTAGAAAAGCCAATGGATTGATGGTGGTAAGAGCAGCAAAAATGTCCAGTCTGACCAGTGCTACCGCCAATTCAGAATTGTAAGCTGCCCAGAGGTTGTTGATACAAGCAACGACCATGGTCTCAGTGGAGTGGATAGCTCGCTATGCAGACTGGACAGGGCTGAAGGTTATCATGTAGACTGTGTGACATGTATAATGTACCAACCAGTATGTAGAGTGAGTGGCATGTAGACCGAGTGGCATGTAGAAATGTATATATGTTTAACTTATTTTGCACCGCATGTAGCCAACCGTGCTAATCGGAGGTGTAAGTGTAAGCAACAATGAGACGAATCCAATCCCAGAACCGGCAGCCTCGAGCTACCGCTCTCGGCTCCTTTTATCCTCCCAGCGTGGCCTAACTCCGCCCTGGCCATGCCTCCCTTCTCGTACCCAGTAGCGGGTTCCAGGGGATTCCAGATAGGGTCGTTCGTGACCCTTGCCCCAGTTCCTCTGCTCTGCCAACACACCCGAGCACACGTTCACCGGCGTGTGTACTATAGTACACATCTGTCCGCACAGTTGCCGCTGCTGTCCAGCAGCCGGTGCTATTGAACTACACCTTTATACGTGCGCATGAATTGGATGTTCAGAGTGCCTGTGCTGCCATGTATTAAATTAAAGTGCCACATTACACATTCGGCATGTCCCTAGATTAAACTCTGCTTGTAAACCATTGGTGACCAGATATCAACCCGTTGCACTTGAGAACCTGGTTTAAGGTTGTGATTTATAAATGTCCTTACCTGCCTTCCCACCTTCCTTCCCACTGCTATGGTTGCGGTGCTAACACTCTCCTACCAAATGTTTGAGTTACCAGTCGCTACTGCTTTGCTTCCTTTTCAAAAATGTGTCTTCATATACAGTAACGTCCCCTTGCCGTTTCTGCCCTTGCTACGGCACAGGCTATCAGTGCTCCGTCCCATGTTCTTTAACTAATATTCAGTTTATCTATCCGAAGCAATGGGAAAATATGCCTAATATATTTGAGTTTTGCCCATATTGCATGGAGCGCTCTCCTTTACACGACATACAACTTTAATCTTGCGCTAAAGCTGCAAGGAAAGTATTTTTTATAAGCCCTCTCTGCTATGACGGTAATCATTCACCCACACAATTTACCATACTAGAGTGAGTGGCATTTAGACCAAGTGGCATGTAGGCCGAGTGGCATGTAGATCGAGTGGCATGTAGTCATGCATGTATGTTGAACTTGTTTTGCACCGCATGTAGCCAACCGTGCTAATCAGATGTGTAAGTGTAAATGTACTGAATGTTCAGGTGCCAGATTTCAGGCCAGAGACCAGATACTTTCAAGTCGTGGGAATTGTGCCATAATCCGGTAACACAGAATAAGTATCATGGACCTCTTTTGGAACACGCATTGAAAGCCACAAGATCTAAGAATTACTTTTTTACAACAAAATCTACCAATATTTAACCCTGTTGTACAAGGCCATTTCCCACAAACTTATGGCTGTATGGTATTTAACTGTCAGTGGCTTAATTGCTAAAATTATATTCTGAGAAACTCATAAAGTAAAGTTTGTATGTGCACCACCCAACTGTGTTATCAATTTATTTGGGCTTATGGCAATAAATGCAAAGATGTTCACTTATAACCATAAAAGCTCATTATTATATGGGATTAATGACATTACCCCAAGGAGCCTTAGCTCTTATTAACCCTTTCTTGTTCGTCATCAGTGTAAAAATAGAATTGAAAGAAAAACTAAAATAAAATAACTTTATCAGTGCCGAGGCTCCCACAAGGCCATGCGGGAGGGCGTGTGGCGCAGTTTGGCGCGAGCTATCATAGAGTGCTGTCGTGTCGCTACAGTTCTCTGCTGTGAGTAACAATGTCTTTAAAAACAACGGCACTATGCCTCGCTAAATAAAATTAATGCTGAGCCGCTTACGCGTTCCGAGATTCAGTGGTGAACGGGACCCACAAGGGCACCAAATTGAAAGCCTGTTTTGTTTGTCAAGGATAATTTTACACGGAAAATTGGTTAAATTGCCTTTATACGTGCACAAAAAATGGAAGTTCAGAGTGCCTGTGGTGCCATGTATAAAATTGAAGTGCCACATTACACATTCGTTGTAAAACACGGCATGTGCCTGGATTCAACTCTGCTTGCAAACCATTGGTGATCAGACATCAACCCGCTGCACTTGAGAACCTGGTTTAAGGTTGTGATTTATAAATGTCCTTACCTGTCCTCCCACCTTCCCTCCCACTGCTATTGCTGCGGTGCCAACACTCTCCCACCAAATGTTTGATTTACGAGTCGCTACTGCTTTGCTTCCTTTTCAAAAATGTGTCTTCACATTCAGTAACGCCCCCTTGCCGTTTCTGCCCTTGCTACGGCACAGGCTATCGGGGCTTTGCCCCTTGTTCTTTAACTAATCTTCAGTTTATCTATCCGAAGCAATGGGATAGTATGCCTAATGTATTTGAGTTTTGTCCATATTGCATGGAGCGCTCTTCTTTACACAACATACAACTTTAATCTTGCGCTAAAGCTACAAGAAAAGTCTTTTTTTTTAAAGCCCTCTCTGCTATGACGGTTATCATTCACCCACACAATTTACCACACTATCTGTCATCGTAAAGTCTAAGGGTGACAATAAAAACCTCAAATATTAACCTTTTTCAGTCATTTGCAGGTTTAGCTTTATTCTTCTTCTCATCACCTTTGCACTCATAGAGATGCCTGTCTGATTGTGTGAATGTCAATGCCGAAAATTTTACGATTCCCCTTACACAGGCACAGTAAAATCGTCCTATTGGCCGCACTTGCAACTCGTGTGTGCGTCACTGAGTCAATTTCACATGAAGACGTTTCTTCGAATTGCATGCTCAGCTAAAACACACTCATCAACAAGGCATTGTTAAATACTTTTAACATGTAATACATATAGGGTTGCTGCATTATTTGTGTATGTTATGATTTCCATAACATTCACAGTTGATGTCGTGCAGATGTGCACAGGTTTTTTTTAAAAATAATAATTGTAAATTTGCCTTGGGCCAACTTTTAATCAGTACTGATGTTACTATTAACACCTTCTGTGAAAGAGAAAAAAACATTTTTCAATAACACTATTGCCTTAAAAGGGAAATTGGATAGCAGGCGACGTTTGTGGCAAAGGCCCTTCTTCAAAG